GGAGAGAAAAAGTGAAAGGGAGCAGAAATGATATGAAAATGGGGGTTTGTAATAAACTTTACCAAGTCCCGAAAGCAATCTATTGAAAAATGAAATGGTGTTTGAAAAAGAAAATAATAAAAAAGGAAAAGGAAGACGACAAGAACAAGCACAATCACAAGCACAAGCACAAGCACAAGAACAAGGACAAGGACAAGTTGGAGCCAAAACGAAAACGAGAAACGCCTTAGGGAGACAACCTGGAAAACACAAACGCCGGTTGTTTCTACATCGCCACTATGAGACTTCTATCTTGAAAATTTTTGGTTGGGTTGGTTGGATTGAGTTGGATGGGGCAAGTTTGAGGAAAAGGTGCAAACGGCTTGACGGCTTCCCACCATCTTCACTTTCTTTTCCCTCCTATTCAGTTCACCTGCATCTGCCTTTCCACAGTACGGTCAAGAATGCCTAAATTTTGCCAAAGAATCAAAAGTAGATGGAACATCAACGCAGCATAAACTGGGAAAGGATGAAAATCAGAGGATATAAAGGAGATTTGTCGACTCAAGAGAGAGGGAAACAAGACGGATATCTGGGAAAATTGAATAGGGTCATTATTTCATCCAACCCGCTCACCCCCAAAAAAGAGGCACCAGAAGAGGAACCAAATCAGCTCTTATGTAGCTTCTTCACCCGTACAGCGCCCTCATACAGAACCCTATCAATAGCTGCGGCAACCGTTAGAGTTCCTCCAATAACTGCACACACGCCAGTCAGGAAGCCGGAGAAGGACTTGGTTCGTGCTTCGCGGTTGATCACCTTCATGGGCGAAATGTCGTAGTTGACAAACACACCGGGAATACCGCCTTGTGAATGCAAGCGCTCCTTGTGACCCTCTGCCGAGTCATCGCCGCCGTCCACCGACCGTTTGTGCGAAGTGACCGAGTACTGGTGTGTTTCAATGCTTCCGTATGAGCCAAAACTGAGGCCTTGTTTCCCCAGGGGTGCGTTCTTGGAGTACTTAGAGTGTGCTGAACTGGACGCGTCGGGATCCCATCCAAGCGGTAGGTAACTTGTAGACACCACTTTTACGAAGTATATGAAGTTAAATCTGGGATTAGTTGTATGTTGTTCAGTATTGTCCAGTGGATTAGTATGATGATTGTCAGTCCATTTCCAGCGGCTGGAAAGCTCTTCGGGTAGTTGGGGTCCGAAGCGCAAGTAATGGACTCTATGGCCCATATTATGCTGTACAGGTGTATGATAGTAATTGTCAAGGTCGTGGGCGTGAAGGTTGCCGTTTGTGAAGCTGCGACCAGGTGCAATATGGAAATTACCGACAACTTTGTTAACGCGGATCACTCCTTCAACGCGGCACCCTTCCTTTCTCTGAGCATCTAGGTTGGCGCTATATCCTTCTTTCTCGCATTGCTCGACATTTTCTCCCCGTCCGAAGGCCCAGCCTTTCGCTGCATATGCATCTCTAACTTCCTCGCATGTATTACAGCACCCAGGCTTTTTCGCATTGGATGGTGGGGTTGCTCCATAACACTGACCGCAGTAATCTGGGTCGACATCCGTTCCCTTGTTTGTTTGAGAGTGCCTACATGGTGTATCTTATTAGCATGTAATTTTAGATTCACGAACCAGACACAGGAGACATGCACTCACAATTGAAGAGCAGTAATATCGAGGACCCGGCCTCCTTCCTCAACTGAACTGAGGCGTACTTTGTTGACACCGTGGATGACCCCTGTCTGATACTCGCCGGAAATATCCATGACATCCAAAGTGAGGAGCTCACAAGGTAGATTTGGGAAAGTCACGTTTAAGTGAATTTCCATTCTCTCCCCTAATATGAAAGGTTTAGCTCTGCACAGACTTCTTCCACGAAAGGTAACATACCTCTCCCCTTATCAACAACCAACTCTGGCAACACCACTATTCGTCTATACTCTGACCATTCACCCCATATCAGGAAGAAGATAACGAACAGTGCACTTATTGTGACAACGCCCCCTAATCTAGTACGTATCCGCGCATCCTCGACAGTTTTTGTGAAAGCGTCTAGTCGCGCAAATCGTGACTTGGGAGGCATTGTATCGGGATCTATGGGATTATACGCATTCGAGGGAGCAGGTCGTGATCTAGTAGTTTCAAGAGAAATATCCCGAAGTATATTAAGCTTCGCACGTTCGACAGGCTCCAACGAGCGCCAGAATCCCGCATACCAACCGTGAAAAGCAAAGGCCACCTTGAAGTGAAGTCATCAGCTGATTGGCCAGATATGGATAGTTGCCACTTTCTTCAGATTTGCTTCATCACGTGATTGAGCTTAAATTTATCAGCAAGGGCTGCTTTTGAGCCTCTTTGACAGAGCAAAATCTCCTCGCTCCCTGTTTGTTAAATCGCCATATTCGACCCATCTACATTCTAGCGTTAACAGATAGTTATTTTATCTCAACATTAGCCTTCCCTTGAGCTTGGACTCTCTCTTTTGAAAACCATTACCGCTCCTCTTTTGTCATCGCATGCTGTCTGCCTCCTTCGAGGGGCACCCCTCCTCGTAATCTTCCCTCTCCACAACACTGCTCGACATACTGCAGCCTTTACACAATGAATAGCTCAAAAACCCCCAAAGGGCCCCGTAGCCGTACCGGAACACCAGATCGCGGAGGCATCCGCAAACGAGGGGCCCCTCCCCGGACCGATCGGGATGGTGACCTGGATATGGACGGTGGTGCGTCTGGAAGAGGACGCGGGACAAGAGGTCGTGGGCGTAGCGACCCTGGGCGCTGGGCTGCTCCGAGAGCTGGGGGGTTGAACCAAGGGAGGGAACCGGGAAGGCTAGCCAACAAAGAAAAAACCTTGGATGCACTGGAAAAGGCTATCTTCAGCAACGCATCTTCTCAGGCGAATGTTGGACATGGTCGCCCACAGACTCAGAGCAAAGGGTTGGTTCAAGTGATCGTGCGCGGATGGAAGCGTAGCAAAGCGGCTTTTAATCCCGATGGCGGTCTTGAAAGCCTCGTCATGTTCCTTGAAAGAAAAGCTCAACCCCCCAAAAAGCAAGGTACTGCGGCCCATTCACGATTTAAAATTTCCAAGGTATGTGCAACATCACATTCTAGCGGTCACCGACGTATTCGCAGAAACGCCTTCCCTGGGCTGTTTACACTCTCGCGCCGAATACTCCAGATCGACGATTGAGACATCGTCTAAATATGTCGTACAACCGTTGGATACTTCCGGTTTCAAGGTTATTAAGCCTTGCTAACGTTAACTAGTCACGAATCGAAGGGGATGCTTTAATTATATCACTTCGTCCGGAACTAGTGGCATGTGTTTTACAGATCAATGGTACTAGCTTTGCGGGCGAGAAACTTACTATTGAAGAATACCGCAATCCCGATGTCAACAATACAGAAAAGCAACCACTGTCACAAACCGCGCTCGATACAAAGGCTAGAATGACAGAATTTTTGAAGAAGAGATACTCTGAGTCAGGGAAGCTCTTAAACCTTTCACAGCTTGGCACTGATCCAGATCTTCTTGCCATGGGCATGTTCAACACCACTTCGACAGAGTCTAAATTTTTCCCAGCTCTCATGAAAATATGCGAACTTACATTCGATTCTCCGGACAAACGAAGAGAACTTTTCCAGAGCGTTACCCTGGCTCAGAATAAACTTCTTAATGTTTCCTCCGTTACCACGCTGTCGCAAACATTCCCAGCTCTCAAAAATCTCGATTTATCGAACAATCAATTCAAGGATATCCAATCACTACTTGCATGGAGGTGGAAATTTAGAGAACTTGAATTTCTCGACCTTACCGGAAACCCAATCAGTTCCGAAGCAAATTTCAAAGAAACTATGCTCAAATGGTATCCCAGACTCAGGACGCTAAATAATATAACGGTCCGGACGGCGGAAGAAATAGCTGTCCAGCGGAAAAACCCGATCCCGATTCAACCTGCTAGTTTTCAAGATGAATCCCAGATTGGTGAAAATTTCGTGAAAGCCTTTTTCACCGGATTCGACAACGATCGGAACGACCTAGTAAATGGAATATATGACGGCAAGTCGACATTTTCTCTAAGCGTAAGTTTCATGGCTCCACGAGGCGTGCGAGCAAATAATGTTTCAGGATGGGATTCGTACATCAAGAAAAGCAGAAATCTTCTGAGGGTTACCTATTTTCCTTCGCGAATGGCTCGTACCTTTGTCGGTTCTGAAAAGATCCGCGAAGTGTGGAACTCTTTGCCGAAAACTAGACATCCTGATGTTCTTGCAAACCCGCAAGATTGGCTAATAGAATGCCATCCCATCCCTGGTCTTCCCGACCCCACCAACCAGAGCGCCACGGGCGTTGGTGGTCTCCTTATAACCGTCCATGGTAAATTCGAGGAATTCGAGGTCACAACTAGAAACAAGACGCAAATGCGGAGTTTCGATCGTACCTTCATCCTTGGGCCAGGAGGTGGAGTTGGCGGTCTACGAGTTTTTAACGACCTGCTCTGTTTGAGGACATTTGGCGGATCCGAAGCGTTTGTTCCAGAGACGGAACAACCCTCTACGAACTCTGCCATTCCACTACCTACGCAGACAGCTATTCCGACTCCGATCACTACCCAGATCCCAAATCCTATAATGACGCCGATCCCCACCAACCAACGGGTTCACCCAGAAGCAAAAGATGGGTTCGGATTACCAATACCTGGAAAATCAGAAGAACAGGTCCGGAAAGAACAGATTGTTATGGAAACCAGCTTCCGAACAAAAATGACGTTAGCATATTCAGAGATGGCTTTATCTGGCAACAACTGGGACATGGAAGCAGCGTTGATAAATTTCGAAGAATTGAAGGTGAGTCGCATCCACGTATTGTACCTCGTTTAATATGGACTTGGCCTAATAAGAATAACTCTTGCAGGCGCAGGGAAAGCTCCCTCCGGATGCCTTTTTGCCTGGAGTATAATTACAACGGATTCGTTTTTTAGCACAACTTGGGCGGAGGTTGTGGTATTTCAAATCGGCCCGAGCAGTGCTTATTGGTTTCCGCACATTATTTACTAGAGAGAGATGGAGGTTGTTTGAGGGTTCCAAGAAGTGGTTATAGACGAGGGATACAACTGCTGAGGAGAGTACTTCTCTTTAGGCCAGCAGCTGGCTTAATTTTACTGTGAAACATGTTTACCGTTTGCTTCCCTTTCTATGTCTGATTCATATATAACTTTCTTCAAGTTTCTATCCTAAAAGGGCTACGATGATACAAAGGATTTCATTTGTTTATTTTGGATGTTTGTTTTGATGGAGGCTTAAATAGAAACCCAACTTACTGGAGTCTCTAGGCATGATTGTGTGAGACTATAGAAAGCTAAGGAACAAGATACCAATTTCAAAGTACCATAACTACGGCGTACATTTATAGTCTTATCAAGCGGAAACGCAACGGCAGACCCGATTTCAACATCACGTGATTTTTCTTATGACCTCGATTGTAAGCAACCCATAATCGCAAAACTCAGCGGACAACTGATTTATATCGACCGTCCTTAATATAATTTGACATACACATAGCAGTACCTGCTACCAGCGTGGGCCGCATTATGTGGCTGGGTGTGACGTCCAATTCATTGGGATGTCACCCACCATCGCCCTCATGACTGAGAACGGCATGTCCAATCCCGATCCACTGGATGGAGGCAAGCTCGCAATTTCTCCTGGAATCTCATATATCGAGCTGACAATGATTTCTGTAGTCGACTACGATCCTATAGATCACCTCAATGCCATCTTCTCCCATCCGTCTGCTCTCTCATCCGTGTACAGAACATCCGATGCGCTCCAAACATACCAAGATGAGCTTGACAGTGACATTGCTTCACTTGTCGAACGACAAGCCGCATCCAATGCGGAAAGCGTACAGCGAGTGCAAACAGCAAAAGTAGACATGGCCGAATTATTTAAGAAGATTGATGACGTTCGTGAGCGCGCTTTAAAGACAGAACAAGCCATCACCGAGATGACAGCGGAGATCAAACAGCTGGATAATGCAAAGAAGAACTTAACTCTGTCGATGACGGCATTGAAGAGATTGCAAATGCTTACTACTGCGTACGAACAATTGAAAGCGTTGAGCAAATCGAGGCAATATCGCGACTGTGCGCAGCTACTTGCGGCGGTGATCCAACTTATGGCGCACTTCAAATCCTATCGATCCATCGACCAGATTGCTACGTTGAGCCGTAACGTGGCTGATATCCAACGAGAACTACTCGAGCAGGTTTGCGAAGATTTCGAGATTATATTTGCGAAGGGGGAGATCCCACAGAGAAAGAGTGTGCTGGTCGAAGGATGTTTGGTTATGGAAGTCTTCGGGGATATGGCAAAGTCAAGATTAATGACATGGTATTGCAATACACAGTTAAGGGAATATCGCCAAGTGTTTCGAGGCAATGAGGAAGCAGGATCTTTGGATAATATTTCGAGAAGGTATTCTTGGTTCAGAAGAATGCTAAAGACATATGATGAAGAGCATGGGTCGATATTTCCGCCTTCCTGGAAAGTCGGTGAAAGCTTAGCAAATGTGTTCTGTGAGGGGACGCGGGAAGATTTCAAAGGAATTCTCTCCCGGTCACTTCGGAGTGGACAAACATTAGACGTTAACCTTCTCCTTTCTTGTATGCAAGAAACCCTCGATTTCGAACAATTCCTTGATCGGAGGTTCAGCTCTCAATCTCGTGCGTCTTCTGATACATTCACATCGATCGAATCTCCCGCATTTGGCCAGTCGATATCTAAAGCGTTTGAGCCGTACCTTAGCATATGGATTGAAGCTCAGGACAAGCAGCTATCAGCCCTGATACCGAAATATCGACAACAACCAATAAAGCCTCCAGATGAGGAGTTTACGTCCCGCCTAGTTATTCCTTCTTCTACCGACCTTTTCACCTTTTATCGGCAGTCTCTCGCACAGTGTGCCAAATTATCCACTGGCTCTAGTTTATCAGAGCTTTCGAAGCTATTTGCAAAATATTTGGATCAATATGCTCAGCAAGTGCTTCTGTATTTTGTCACTGAACGCGCAAGTGGGCAGACTCCCTCCAAAACTCCATCCTTAGAAGACCTTATACTAGTACTAAACACAGCCGATTACTGTTACTCGACATGCAACCAGCTCGAAGATAAAATTAAAGGTCGGATTGAGGAGAACTTCAAGCAAAGTATCGACCTACAGAGCCAGGCCGATGCTTTTATGGGCATTGCCAGTTCGGCTGTGCGTGGGCTGGTCCGAAATGTCGAGGTTGAATTAGAGCCATCGTGGAAAGAAATGCGGAATACGACGTGGAACAAATTGGAAACCGTCAGCGACCAGAGCTCCTTTGTTGCGGTACTATTGAACAGCGCCAAATCCAAATCCGAGGAAATCCTGAAAATGTTGCATAAACAGCAATATGCGCGAGCATTTGCTGATAATTTTGTGGAACACCTCTCAAGCACCTACATAGCCAATATTTTCCAGTGCAAGCCCGTGTCAGAGACTGGTGCTGAACAAGTAGGATCATGTTTTCGTAAATTTATCCACGAAACTTCTCCCCGCTAACAACCATCACAGATGCTCCTTGACGCTTACACAATAAAAAGTGCAATCGCCAATCTTCTTTCCCCGCCACCAGCCGGATTTACCAAGCGACTAAACACGTCCTTCCAAAAAGTCGACCTTCTCCTGAAAACTCTCCAAGTCCGAGCTACCCCACCTGAAGCCCTTGTGCAGGCTTACCTCATTCACATCGCTGACCGAAGCGATGCAAACTTCCGTAGGATCCTTGAAGTCAAAGGAATCCGAAGCAAACAGGAACAAAACCAGCTCAGTGAGGTGTTTCAAGTCCCCAAATCCTCTGACGGTCATGCATCCAACTTACAACCAAGCAATCCTCTATTCACCCAATTGCATCCTCCCACATCATCATCGTCATCCACCACGGTCCCCACGGCAACTGTATCCCAAGGCCTGGGTCTGAGCAACCTAGGCGGAGTTGGCGGCTCCTCACTCGCAACTGGCGCTCTTCCAGCTCGATTCGATGCCTCGAGCCTCGGTTCTGCAATCATATCCGCAGCCAGAGATGGGGTTGACAGACTGGGCAGTCCTCTTGTTGGTGGCCCTGGAGCCGGTGGGCCCGGAATTTCCGCAGCCAACTCCCCACCAGGCTCGGCCACTCCGGTGGTCGGTTTAGGCGCCAGCCTAGGACAACGTGGGGATGGTATAGAGAGTACCGGACTAGGGTCAACGAACCTTAATGAGAATCTTAAAAATATTGGGAAATTCTTTCGGAGGGATTTGGGTGGGCTAGGTGGACGGTTCGGGAAGAGTGGAGATGAAAGTGGGGGAAAGTAGATGGGGAAACAAGAGAATGAACCTTTCTTGGGAATATATTGACTATGTTGTTACTCTGAATACATGTGGGCGATAAGGGAATCGGTCGGTTGAAGATTGGGAGAGGACGTAGCTTGTCTCGCTCGAGCTGTTCTTATATATACCAGTGATACCTAAGGTGCAAATTGGTCTATTGATGTATTGCTAACTCCAACCACCACCGCGCCGGACACGTCCCGCCACCCTCCCCCCGAACGCACCTCATAGCGTTCCCAGAACTCGATACACCTTTGGACGTGATGTAAACAAACCCTGCACCACCATATTTGCCAATTCCGGCTCTCCAGTTAGCTCTCCAACTTGGTAGGTCACATACGGAACAGAGTCAAGTCAGAGGAAGAAATTTATTTCACATTAATTTTTTTGCGGTTAATTTACCCCCAGTAGCTCTGTTGGGAAGCAGGCGTGGTCTGACCTTGTTTGAATTCAAAACGCGAAAAGATTTTATTTAATTCGTGCATAAATAAGAGACCTTTTTTCAGATGCCTACACAAGATTATAAACACTTGCCAACTTTCTGGCATAAGCAGAGGAGACAGATCAAGATTAGAAATACTTAGACACAACTACGAGCTTCGTTCACTGGGAAAATAAAAATTTACGAAAGATCGAGCGGGGTCGATCCGGACGGCGGAGAATACATAATTCGAGAGTAGAAACTAAAAGTCTGATTTGAATTAGTTTCTGGAGTCAAATAGAACACGGGGATACGAGAAGCAAGGTGTTGAAGAGCGAGGCGTCATTAAAAAATTAGAGTGTTGTTGCTATTTAGTTGATCTTCATGGAATAATCGGGGTTAAAAAGATTTAATCATTCGCCAGGGACAAGGGGGCCTGGCATTTATATGGCCAGGAAAATGTGCGTGGATCGGACCAAAAAAAGGGGGGAGAAAGGAGAAAGTTTGGATGTACGTACTACTTTAGTCGGGAACTGGCGCGGATCCCGTTGTAGGTGTGATCTATGGTGCGTTGGATTATATAATTTGACAACAGAAAAATACACATCAAATTCGACGCTCGCGTTGGTAGGCGAGCTTGGCTCAGTTTGTTTATTGTTTTTATGCAGTTTTGCATTTGATCTAGTGCGCAAGACATAACGGCCATAGATATGCTACATTCATTTGCATTAATATCTCGGAATAGAATCAACGCCATGTTGCGTTTAACCGAAAAGGTCACCAAACCCTAGAGGCGGCAGTTAGTATAAGTGCTGTGGGAAATTCAAGTAAGGAGTGTCCAGAAGTCCCGGATGGGGATTTTCATACCTCCTTCATCTTCGCTTTCCTCAGCCTCCGACTCCTCCTTGGCAGCCTCCTTTGTCTCTTCTCCCTTTGCAGCTTCGGCAGCAGGGGCGGCAGCAGCATAGGCCTCAGGGTTGGCAATGCGATCCTTGAGCTCTTCGATCTCGCTCCATCCGTATTCCGTCTCGAGCGCAATCGCAATCATGTTCTTGTAAGAGTTGACAACCGAATGCATGACGGATGGCAGGGTGGGGAAGTTTGTGGCCAGAGATATGGTGGTGATGGTCCGGATGGCAGACTGGAGGCTGGACAACAGCTGCTCCTCACCAACGTCCAAAACATCGGGGCTGAAGGTCTGGCCGTCATCGTAGATCTGAGCCACAGTCATACCGTAGGTAAACGGAGAGATGTTCAGCATGTTGAGGAGCGTGGCTTCGGAAGCACCGACTTTCGAGCCAGCCTCAACGAGCTTCAGATCAGTGGTAATTTCAATGGTACCACGAGCAATCTTGGTAGGGACACCGAGAGCCTGGAAAAAAGAGGTTTTACCGGGTTCCATGCCGGTGTTCCCAGCGGGGACATAGACATCCAAAGGAGCGATGGCACCGGCACGAGCAGGGGCAGCAATCCTGTTTGAAAGCACCTTCTGTCTGACCTCTTTCAAGTCAGCGTTGGTGAAAATGAAACCTATATTACCCCTGACGTGAGGCAAAAGACGCTCATATTCCGGGTTATCTGCGACGAAGCCTTTGATGGCACGGCGAACCTAATTTGAGATCAATTGTTATCAATCAACATCCCGGAACGGCCATCGACGCTTGTTTGGCATACCATGGTGTTCTTTCCCATGAGGACAACGGCCTCGCCTCTCAGGCTGAGGCGGATTTCGTGCATCTGCTGGGAGCTGACATTGTCGACAGTGACGATGAGGACCGAGCGGTACTCATCAAGCAGCGCCTTCAGCTTATCGAAGTAAGCGGCTTTGTTCGCGGACCTGCCCCCCATGTCTTCTTATTGGGATGAAGATAGGATGTTTAAGGGCGAGGTAAGTATCGTGGAGGAAATTGGAGTGTTGACACGGAGGATGGTTGTGGTTGTGATTTTTCCAAAGATTATTGTCGAGATTTTTGCTTGTGGATTCGGCTAACTAGGGCCAAGATTAGATCACGTGAACATTCGCCTCCGTAGTTTTTTTGAGAGTCCTCCATATTTTACATAAATCTTGCTTAAAATGACATCGTTGTTCACGGTGAGCTCTGAAGGGCCCCGAACTTGCCAAGACTCACTTTCATTGGCTCAAATGGATTAATCTGATTCGCAACATCAGAAAATTGTATCTGGTGTGATGAGCCCTGAAACATATGTTCTCCGTGAGAGATCGATTCCCAAATCATGCCTTTCCAGCATCCCTTCCAGTGCATCCAGTGGCTGGGGGATTGCGCTCCGGGGGCTCCAAACTTCCTTGTGGGAGCTGCTGGACCAAGAATATATGTGTTAGATGGCAGAACGGGGCATTCGCTCTGCGTCTGGCCCTTGAACAACGAGCCACAGGCCAAAGCTGCAAATGCAAAGAATGCAGACTCCCATAGTAAGGGTGACGCTGAAGGCAGTGAACCTCCCGAGAAAAGGCGGAAACTTTCACCAGAAGCCTCACAAGATATTGTCAGTGCTGAAGAAAGTAAGGTACAGGGGGCTAAAGTCAATGGATCTATGAAAGCGCAAGACTCGAGATTGGCATGGGAGACGATCCCAATTGTGACAGCCTCAAAATCGGGGAAACACATCGTTGTAGTTTCTGCAGAAGATAAGTGTATACGAGTCTTTGCGGTGAACTCGAACGGGGCTCTCTCCCAATTAAGCGAACGGTAAATATCAGTCTCTTAGAAAACCCCAGAATATGAGAAAAAATCTGTCAATTGTCCTGACGCAATTCTAGATGTATGCCCAAACGACCATGTGCAGTTGTACTGTCGAGTGACGAATCTACCATTCTATGTGGAGATAAATTTGGAGATGTCTACTCTCTTCCAATTTTCCCAACAGAAAACCACAAACCACCTCCCAAGAAAAGCGCGCAGCTTTCACAGCCCCTTCAGCCATCTGCTTCCGTACTCACAGTCCATACGAAACGCAATCTACAAGCCCTCGAGCAGCAGCTCAGAGTGGGCGCGAAGATTCCAACGGAGAAGACTGGCCCTACATTCGAGCTCAAGCTACTTCTAGGGCATGTGTCTATGCTCACTGACATCGCATTCGTGGATTTGTGCATCGATCCTGAATCCGCAGTTTCTCGCCCTTATATAATAACTGCGGATCGAGATGAGCATATTCGGGTCTCTAGGGGCCCCCCTCAGTGTCACATAATTCAAACCTACTGCTTAGGCCATACTGCATTTGTGAGCAGATTATGTATCCTGCCATGGAACACGTCGACTTTGATATCGGGCGGGGGGGATGATTATATTCTGGCTTGGCGTTGGGCGGAAGGGAAACTTATGCAAAAAATTCCAATTCCCGTAGATGGTATCGTCATGGCATCAAACGAAGACGCCACCGCAACAGCAGATAGGCTATCTCCACCAGAAATTGCCGTAAGCGGAATATATGCGATGTCCTTTTCAGACGATTTTTCCATGAGAGTGAAAGCTCCCGGTGTGGTTCTCGTAACGCTAGAAGGGTAGGCAATCCAAACCGAAATTTGATACCTGTAATGGGCATTAATAAGCTAACTTTTTTCTGCGCTAGGATGCCAAAACTCTTTCCTTTCAGTTTTAGTCCTGACGGCAAGATTGTCGCGCAGAATCCCGTGCATCTTTCAGGGAATGCCCTCGGGGTCACGTCTATCGATAACAAGGGCAACATCGTTGTATCGGTAGACAATGTACACGAGCCTGGATCGACAACGGAGCAGCGAAAACCATCAGATGCCCCGCAACAGCTTATTCAAGTGTTTTCGGTAATGTGGGAACAAGAAACCTTCCATTGGAAGGAAGTTGATAGCGACATGGCGAAGGAGATCAGCAATCATGGTACATTTCAGTTAGCCACTTCTGAAAATGAAAAGGAGGCCAAAAGAAATGCGCAAGCAATTGCATCTTCGTTGTACAGTGTTGGAAATCTTCGAAAATGGGTGAAGGAGGGAGACGAATGAAATTTCAAGGCATTCATAGGATATGAGCACCGTTTTTATAGCTTTGCGTACAGTACATCTGTAGTATCTACGGAGATCAAATTAAGGGTTTAGAAATTTTGAAACATAGGAACCTGATTCTCTCAATTAACCATCGTCCAAACATGAATAAGATGGACAAAAGTGGATAAGTATAAAAAATGAAAATAAAAAAATAAAAATAAAAATAAAAATAAAAATATTCGATGCGGGACAATGAGTAACACTTAAAAAAAATCTCCCAAGTCTCCAGACTCCGCAACTTGCCCGGAACTAATTTCGTCAATAGTTTACTTTTCTGATCTTTTCGCAAGCACGAACTCCACAGTCAACATGTCGCATCAATTTGAACCCCTTAAAAACGATCTTCTGCTAAGGGCCGCTCGAGGTATATTTGCTCTCTGAAATCCTTTCCTTTGGCCCACCAGCTAATTAATGTTGTGATTTGTAGGCGAAAAGGTTGAACGTCCACCAATATGGGTTATGCGACAAGGTATGATACTCCTACTTACCCCACGTTTTCCTCCCAAGTTCTCGAACTCGCAGCCTTTATACCCATTCAGAGAGAAAATAAAATAGAAAAACGATAAGCCAATTCAAATTGGAAATAATCAAATGATGCAAAAAAACACTCTAAAAAGAGTTCCACTTCCAACTTACAACAG